CCTCCTAAGGACCCCCCACCCACCTACCCACACACTGACCTGCATCCCCCCCCGACATCCACCCATAAACCTCCACCCCCCTTCCCACCCCACTCCTGCAAACCCCTCATCCCCCTCATCACACATCCACCATGTGATAAGGAAACCAAAAGCAAACATTAAAACATATATTCAGGATTTATTTTATTATGATGCTAGAGACACTGGTAGGCTTCCAAACTGCTTTAACATTATAAATGTAGCAATAAAACGTTGCCTATCTAATCAATCCCTCTCTCTTTCTCTTTTGTTCTAACTGTGAAAGAAAGCAGATTTGGGGGTATTTGAAAAAGTGAATTTGGGATGCTGGTTCAGCAAGGGGTAGTGTCCCCAGATACTAATTGCCCAGGCTGCAGAAGCTCCTGTCTATTTGTAACATTCAAATACCATGGGCCCTAAGGCCCACCCAGCTAACTAGTAGCCCCTATTGAATAGGGGCTAATGGGTGAATGCTGCTAAGCCAAAAAAACAGGACAGGAGTGATGTGAGGGTCAAAGGGTCAAAACGTGAAAATGAGTACGCCTGAGGGAGACGCCAAGCAAAGCTCCTCAGGCCACACGCACCAGATCTCAAAGGCATCCAAGGAGCCGGTGGACGCTGCACACTGGTGCTCTGCCTGGAAATGTGCACGGACAAGTGAGAGGAAAGTGGCCCTGCAGTCTCCAGGCACCTTCCTGGCCAGAACCTTCTTCCTGGTCAAGTACAGGGCCCACTTGGCCAGGGCCAGGAGGAGGTTGACCAGGAGGTCCCAAGACTTGGTGGAGCCATGGATGGGGTGACCAAAAACAAAAAGGTAGGGGGTGAAATTCAACCAGAACCTCAGGAGAAGGTTCTGGAGGTGGAGGTGGAGGGGCTGCAGCCTGGCATACTTGAGAGTCATGTGTGCCAGGGTCTCCCTCTGCCTGCAGAAGGGACAGAAGACCGGGATGTCCATAAAGCTTACCACATGCACGCCCATGGCAACAGCTCCATGGAGGAACCGCCAGCTGAGGTCCCCAGAAGCTCCTGAGGACAAGTAGCCCTGAGCTGCTGGCCAGGGCAGGTTTTTATACTGCTGAGGCCTGCACACGTGCTGGCCCCAGGCTCTAGCTCCCCCTGGCTGCAGATCCGGGAGGAGCCAGGCAGGGTTAGTTTTGCCCCAAGTGACACAATTTGCTCCACACAAAATGCATGTCTGGGCATGTGTGCTGAGGCAAAAAGCCCTGGCTCAAATTTGCACCGCTTCTATTTGAGCTGCTGCAAGCACACGTGCTTGTATGCGTGGACGCACCCAATGAGGGCAGAGAGAAAGAGGGAAAATTTAATTCCTCTTTCACCCATATGAAACAGATTCTGAAAATAATTATTCCAAAACAATTAATCTGAACTGTTTTGTGGCAACCAATGAAACGCTCACCCTGCCTCTTCTGACATAATTATTCATTACCACATCATACAAACCATGACTGCCCCTTATAGATTCTGGCCAGTTCCCTAACTCTATAAGGTGCACACCAAGTTCCATTGAATTTGCTTTCCATTAAAGCAGGGAGGCAGAATATGGAAGTGATGCTCTTATGCAAGCTTTCTCCAGTTCATGCATACTGGACAACCCCCAGAACGTGGTCACTGTTTGTGTCATAAAACATCAGACATGGATTTTTTGGAATACTTGTGTTCATCCTAATTACTGCAGGATATGAAGAACCTGTCTGAACACATAACAGGGTGTGTCAAGGTTTGGAGTGTGTCATCTCTAATCTAATAACCATTTTGCACCAAGATATTAGTACTCTGATGAGCTGTCTCTACAAGAGCTCAAGATGGGGATAAGAACGGTTGTTTTTACAAACTAAGCCCCAATTTTGGTCACCAGATACAATACAACCTATTTTTCACATAAATTGTGAAAAAAATAAACCTCTTGAGAGTGGTCTGCATTGGGATTAGGAGAAAGAGGAAAGAAAAAAAAGAGAGAGAGCAGTGTAATAGAAAAGAAAGATGAAACTAACAGTCATGACTAATGAAAATTTGGGCATATAAATACAAGAGCCTACCTACTACCTAGCAGACAGGGAGAGAGTTCTTCGCTCTGTACTCCATTGTTGGGACATGTCACTCAACACAAAGGCTCAAAAGATATACTCTGATGTAGAGCAAAGCAGCAGATCATGTCAGTAGCAATCTTGCCTATCAGCCATTTGCCACAGAGGAAGGAATGGGGGCAAAGAACTCACAGCCCCTTACCCACTCCGCCCCTTACCCCTTTCAAAGAGAACATAAGCCGCAGCCTTTCTGTGAAATGGAAAGAGCTCAAAAGAAGAAAAGGAGATTCCACTAGTCCTGTCTCAGGGGAGGAACTAGGATGCACTGTAATTTGCTTACCTGGGACAAACCTGTGTGCGGGGTTTTCTGGTATGGGTAGGATTGGGGAGGATGGAGGGGAGAGTGGATGGAAAAGTGGATGCAAGGCAAATTTAGGTTACATATTAGGAAGAATTTTCTCACTATAAGGATAGTAAAACACTGGAATGGGTTACCCAGAGAGATGGTGGAAGCTCCGTCCTTGGAGGTTTTGAAGACTCGGCTAGACAAAGCTTTGACTGGGATGATCAAGTTGGGGATGGACCCGCTTTGAGCAGGGGGCTGGACTAGATGACTTCCAGAGGTCCTTCCAACCCTAACTTTTTATGATTCTATGATGCTAGGAAGAGGGACTGCCTTGACAGAACACCCCTATTTAACTGCCAGCAGTTATACCAGAGAGACGCAGAGAAATCAATAATCTAAAAAACTGAATAGAGAGGCAAACATGCAGCTGTCAGCAGTAGCAGCTATTTTTCATGCCGCACCCCTCCTCCCTGGCAAGTAGACACCTGGGGCAGTTGCCACTATCTGCCCACCCTAGTTACATCACTGGGATATAGGTATGGATTTAGTGAATTCACGATTGCAAAATCAAGCAGGCTCTGTAAGAAATGGCAGGCTCGCTTAAAAAAATAAAATAAAATAAAAGCTTACTAAGAATAAAATGCTGGCTCCCCAGAAGAAGCCAGCAGTCTTCATAGCACTACAGCCCAGCCACACAGCCTGCCAGGGAGAAGAGGTTGGCTGCCTGTCATGCGGCCCACCCCTCTCCACCAATCAGTGGCAAGTGGCAGGGCAACATGATGGACAGATCTCGCAACCAATCAGTGGGACAACCAATCAGTGGGACAGATCTCACAACCAATCACTGGGACACCTTGGCCAATCAGAAGCATGGGGGTGCCCACCATGCTCAGGCCATGAAAACAGTGGCCAGCCCTGGGATTTGCCTGCAAAACTGGCTGACCACTTCCTTGAGTTAGGTAGACCCCAAGATCAGTGGTTCCCAAACTGTGAGTTGTGACCCCAAATGGGGTGCAACATCAACTTCCCT